AAAAAAAAAAAAAAAAAAAAAAAAAAAAAAAAAAAAAAAAAAACCATATCTTCTCTTCCGATCTTAAGAAAAGATATATATATATATATATTTAGCAGCAGAACTGCAGCATCACTTCCTCCTCTTTACCTGATGGGCTCTTTCTGAGCATATATTGCACGAAAAGTGAAACTAGAATATGGGACATTTGTTAAGTTGATTTGAATACTTGCTCTTTATGTTTCTCAGTCATTTGGTCTCACTGACGTATACGTAAGCTATACAGAAGACCCCCCCAGACCTTTTGTCTTTAAGCAGGAAAAAGAGATCTTGGTATTGATATATGTGAATAGAATTTTAAAGCCGTATTATTTCTGTTGTTTCAGAATGACGGTGGAAATAGAACCTTGTTTGACCAGCTGGAGGACCTCCGTGTTGACCCATCACAGCATGAAGACAGACGGGTTGGTTTCTGAAGCAAAACACGTCACCATAGTAACATGTCAATCAAATCTGAGGCCTCGTTATTAACCGTTTGTACAGCAACCATAAACAAATAATCCCATACAAATCTAATTGTGTCTTTCAGGATGTGGACAACCTCATGGGGTGGTGGAACAACGTGGAGTGTAAGTTACAAATAAAATGCTTTCTTTTGGATTTGATCTGACAGTAAAAGGCCCAACTTTTAGTTTCTTCTTCAACCATTTTCCCCATACGACCAAATGTATGTGGACGTCCCTGTTGACATACTTTAGTGTGCTGTTTTTCATGCTTTTGGCCAATTAAAGGAAATCTTAATGCTGCAGCATACAATTATATTTTAGACAATAGTTTCCTGTTTCAACAGAACCAGGTCCATAAAAAAGGATTGATTTTAAATTAAAACAATAACTAAAAAAAGATTGATTTATTGCTCTCGTGGCTGAATGGGAACAAATTCCTGCAGCCAGGATCCAAAATCTAGTCGAAAGAAGAGTGGATCCAGTTATATAAATCGATTAATGCCTATACTTTTGGAATAAGATGTATTAAGAAAACTTTATTATTCTTTCACATTTTCGCTTCCTCAGCTTGGGAGGACACGCCTCAAAATGATGACATGACAGAAAAAGAAGAGGCCAAGTAAGTGAAGGCTAAAATGGGTGTTAATATAAAACTTATATTTATTATTTCTGGTGGTATTTAGCCATGTCGATGGCTTCAGTTTTGAGATGTCTGCATCTAAAAATGTCCTCCGTGACCCCAATATCACAGAGGAGAATAGAATTGTATTCTCACAAATTACAGTTGAAAAACTTCAATCTGAACTTGTTCGTCTCAGGGCGTTTGCTGTGACGGCAGAGAAAGTGCAGAAGGGCATCCGTGTCTTCAACAAGCTGTTCTCGGAGCGCGCTGAGAGCCTCTGGCAGCACGTCATCGACCTCAACGGCATCGCAGACGCCCTGGACAAGTTCAGCAAGAACACAAAGATCGCTCAAATCACCGGCGGCTCTACCAGCGCCATCGGGGGCGTGGCCACCATCGCCGGCCTTGCTCTGGCCCCGGTCACCATGGGAGTCTCCTTGATTGTGACAGCGGTGGGATTGGGTGTCGCCACGGCAGGCGGTCTGACATCGGCAGGTGCCGGCATCTCCAACCAGGTCAACAACTCCATGGACCGCAAGAAGGTGGAGAAGATTGTGCAAGATTATCAGGAGAAGATGGTCGACCTCAACAAGTGCCTGAAATTCATCAAGCAGGGTATCGAGAACCTGAAGAGGTTCGACCTGATGAAGATGAAAAAACACGCCTACAACCGTGACTTCCCTGTGCTCAGTAGCAGTTTCTATGAGGACGGCGCCATGGCAGGGAAGGCCATCCTCATCAGCGCAAATGAGATCATGCGTGTGGTGCAGATCGCCAACGTGGCGGGCAGCACGGCAGCCAGAGCGGTCCAGATCGCCAGTATGGCCACTGGTGTGCTCACCGGGCTCTTTGTAGGTATGGACATCTACTTTGTGGCCAAAGACTCCAAAGAACTCAAGAAAGGGGCCAAGTCAGAGTTTGCTGCCAAAATCCGGGAGGTGGCCACGCAGCTGCACGAAGGTCTGGTGGAGCTCAACGGGATACGGGAGGAGCTGCAGGCCACCTCGCCGGAAACGGAGGGAGGCAAAGATCCGGCTGCTTTGAAGAGCGACAGCAAAGAGAAAGAGGACAAACATGACAGTTCAAGTGAGGATGAAATCGACCGCATTAAAAAAGCCATTAAAAAGGACTACGAGAACCGAGAATATGTTTGAAGAAACTTTAAAAACTGGAAAAAGGCCTTAAATTGTGTGCAAGTGTGTGAGGTGTTTTCGGCTCAAAACTCCAACATACTGCTGCATTCTTGGTGCCAACGTCTTAAAATAGAAAACTACAATCAGGCCTATTTTGTATGAGGAAACTTTATTCTTGATACAGTAATACAGTAGTTTCTCAAATTTCTGAACTTTATGAACCTGACTTCTTGAATCTTAACAGCATACCCACCGCTGAGAGGAACTGAGGCTTTGCGGTAGATAAAGTATCGTATCTGCTTCTCTGGCTGCTGTGCCAAGTGTGAAACTGCCAAGTGGTCTTCAAGAAAATGGGCTTCAAAGCTTTAACTGCAGCATGTATTTGGATAGTTTTAGATTAAGTAAAAAAAATGTTTCAAAGTACTTACTAGATTTGATCATTAGACTTTAAAGTGTTGCTTAGAGTTTTATCAGTGTGTTGGTTCATATTGAAACACTTATCAGGTGTAGAGATTGTGTATGTGCTTAAGAGACGAGTGCCTTTATTATTTAAACAACCTTAGAAATACACTAATGTGGCATAAGTCTTCACGACACAGTCTTGTTTTAAAAAAAAAATGTAATATAAACCTTTGTTTTAGATTGTTTTTACACAATTATGTTGCGTAAGAAGCAGGATGGGGTTGCACCAGCAGTTTGTAAATATGTAGCTTCTATCTATCAAACTAGTGATTCACTAAATCGGGGTTGCACCATTAAAACTTCAGGAATGTCTTAGTACAGACTTAAATAATGTGTTAGGAAACACACAAGCACCTTAATCACAGTTTTAGGGAACGAGTGATATATTGTCTTAACTGCCAATACTCTGACAATGTTTGCACTAGTTTGTTTTAGTAATATGAAATATGTTTTAGAAATGTGTTTGAGTTAGTAGTATTTTGCAATTAAGGATGAGTGGGAAATATCTGATTATGCTAACCTAGCCAACTTTATTTGGTCATTTAGTATTGGGTTTTTCCTTTTTTTTTTTTTTTGTAATTCATGGTATACTATGTTTCTTACCACTTAAGAACATTATTAAATATGATTTTGATCTAGTGTCACGTCAGGTTTGTGAACCAAATGTCCTCTTATCTCTAAACTGGTCATATGTTAATGAGCTTACATTAGCTAAGCAGCTGCTACACCTGTCAGTTACTGGGTGTAAATATTTACAACTAATCACTACATGAGAATCAGTTGTTGTGGATCCACCTGTTTTAATTTAATGATGTGTAATCTGTACTTTGTAAACACTTGGAACAGCTCGGTCAACATAAGACACAAACGTAAAAAGCTGTCAGGAGAACTAATGGGAGAATATGATGGTCCCCTTTTTCTTTCAATACTCTGCCGAGTTAAGTCAAAGGTTTCTACCACGTCTTCTGTCCGATTAGATGGTTTCAAGGTGTAAAAGTCTCTACGTCGATAACTGGAAAGACACAAGACTGTAAAAACCAGCAAGGATTGTGTCAACCTCTCCGGTTTACCTTCTCTTTTTATTGCATTCATATTTTAAAGACTGATTTCTGAAGTCAGGGTTTGATGATGTCTGTTCTGTGGATTGTTTAATGAACCTAATATATATTTTTCTGGGTGGAGTTGTTCATTCGACACTAACTCATTATGTGCAATATATCGTAAAACTGTAATGATTGTAAAATTGTTAATTAAAGGTCAAAAAAACATTTGTCAATCTGTTGCTTTGTAAAGTCTCTATACAAGCAAGCAAACACTTAAGTTCCTTTTTCTGACTGCTGTGCACTAACTGAGTTGGTATTTGTTCAGTTAATAGCCAAGATCAACATAATAGTCAGTGACCTTCAGCACTGTTTACTTTTCTTAATTTCCACGATGAATAAACACAGTTATGCGATTGGGTTAGATTCATGCTGCCGCACAGACCGGTCGATCCTCGTTGACATAAGCAGCATGTGCCGTGTTGTGTGCCAAATAGAAATGTAGAGGAAACCACAACAAAGCTGCGCTGTGCAGGGTTGGCTTTGGAGCCCACCTGATTACACTTGTAACCAACACCCAACAGTGACATCACAGTGTACTGACCACACCCTGGAGTACACTTCTGCATCACTGCAGCAGGGCGAGACGCAGAAGATAAACCAGTGGAGGTCTAAGAAAGAACAGATCTGCAGCCCGTGTTAAGTTGCCAAATACAACAAAACAAATAATACAAACTCAGGTTTCCCTTTAATATTTCTCCTGATCATCTTTGACATGTTTCTGTACTTTGATTGGAGTCCACCTGTGGCAAATTAAATTGATGGACATGATTTGGAAAGGAACACACCTGTTGATATGACTCATGGCTGCCAATGCACATGAGAGCAAAACCCAAGCCAACATGTCTGAATACTTTCTAAATACACTAAACAGTATATACCGTGTGGAGATGTAGTATTTTCAGATTGATGACTAATAATAAAATATTGTCTAACTCACTGTGATGATTTCACAAAGTGTCAGTGTTTGGGCTCCTGCCAAGATGACCAAACTAAACTGCACTATAGTGCAGTTTAGTTTTTCTATTTTAAGACCAGCTCCCTTCACGTTTGGGTTTTTCTTAACATGTTGCTGACACCTGTGAAACTGATGAGTCAGAGTCACGCCGCCTGTGGAGACGCGTTTCCACAGGCGGCGTCTCCACGCGTTTCCACTCCCACAGACACAGGTAGACCTCAACTGGCCACCTCCCACTCCCAGGTGAGTCGACAGCCATCACAAATCCAGAAGGGAGACGAAGCTTTTCAGATCTTGACTCTTCTCCGACTGCAAAAACCAGGTGAGATGTTGGAGCTCTTTTGTTTGGCAGGAACATGGCTCATTGTGCAACAGGTGGTTTCACAGTGAGGATATGTGCCACATGAACTCTCAGGGCGTGTTCCCGTTTGTTTAAGATGCTTTGTGCGACCTGTAAGTGATGTTGCCTTTGGGTGTTGTCGGAAACATTTGGATTACTTCATGCGGCGGTAAATACTCTTGAGAAACATGGGAGCATGTGATGTACAGGTAGAGCGTACATGAATAGTTGAGATGTAAAGGTGCAGCAGATGAAGGCTGCATCAAACAGTGATGTTGATATTATTGTTTTGCATTTTTAGGTAGGCAAAATACATAATATTACATGGTTTTATTTCACATTTCTGCATTTTATTTCTGCATTTTGTGTGTATTTTTTGCACATTTCATCTTCAAATTCGCATTGCAAATGGGTTTCTCTGATGCAATGCTTGTGTAGTTTGAAATATTTCCATATGAAACAGAATGTAGACACAAGGGCTGGTTATTCAAATTGCATCGATACCATCATGTTTTTTGTTACTGAAACTAGAATTACATCTTCTATTTTGGTATTTAACTCTATCTGGTACTAATCACATGTTTAAACTAGCCAATGTGGAGCTTACATGTGTTAGAAGATATTTTCGATACAATTGTCAATAAATCTAAGTAACACTCAACACTTTTGCTACACAGTATATGAGCCTACATGGGTACCGGGTGTAACTGAAGTGATGTAATTTCGGAGCTTTTAGAGGAGCTCTTGAACGCCTCATGTGTGCAGATGTTGTTGTGCGGGTGTGGTGAAGTCTTAAAAACTCTTCGTGACAGGGAAGAAGCAGTTCGTGCTCACTGCTTTGATAATATCTGGTAAAAACTGAATGTGCAGGGCCTCTGAACTGTCTTCAAATATTCGGTAGGTGAAACCGTTTAGTCTGGCACCGAACTGATTTCGGTTTTTATAGTTTGACGTTTATTTCTAATTCACGTCCCCATATGACGAGCGTCAGATGTGTTACTGTTAACGTACAGACTAAAAGTTGTCAGCAATTAACCGCTAAGTTGATTTAGAGTTCAGCACAACTAAAAGCGTTAAAGTTACAGTTTTAGGAAATGTGTTTGAAGTAACGTCAGTATTTCTCTAAATGATTCATACAGTAAGTGACAACTGTAACTGTAACCATGTGTTTCCTCCCGTGTATTTAAATTCATTATTATACATTTTCAACAAAAGCAACAGTTGTTTTTGTAATTGTTTTCTCGCTTAAATTATAAAATATTTGATTTAAATATGGCATGACCTAAAAGTAAAACTTACCATAGCCCAAGATATTTAAATGTGTTGAGTCGTCTAACCAGTCAAGTACTAACTTTTGTGTGTTTTAAAGGGGTTTGACTGACAGTGGAGTTTTGCTTATTCAGGCTAATTTATTTAATAATAAAAGCCAAAGTGATACTAGCTTTATCTTTTATACAGCAACTGACTTACATTTTTACACATTTAACCTCAAAAGCTTCTCAGTAAAATCGTTTGATATCTGAAGTTAATTTACACTAAATTGGTATCAAAAAGCAGTGTATACTAAAAAACCTCAAATGCACTCTGAAAGATGCTTGATCTTGTTGATGTACAGTGATGTCCCAAAATGCAATGCACAAAGGAAATAGAGGAGCTGCACTCAGCTGCATAACATTACGACTCATTGTGGATGGTGGCGACAGAGCTCGTGGAAGATTGAAGAAGTGATTGTCTCTTACTTCCATCTGGCCCAGTTGACATTTCAAAGAGCCATTTAAAGCAGAAATCACAAACCTGTGATTATTCCTGTTTACACTTTATTTGTCTCTGTTGCTCTCATCAGGCAGGATGGAGGCGTGCATGATCAAACCAGAAGTAAAAAAGAAGCCAAAGCCGGTGAGAACATTCAACTCAAACAATGAACTAATGCACAGTCTGAAAACTCTCCAGTACTGATTGTAGAGTTTATAAAATCCTACTGTATAATATATATACTATACTATACAGTACACACTCATGGTTTCTTCTGTATTCACAGCCTAAACTTCTCCCAAAGCCTACAGAGGTACTGTAATAAACCTAAAGCTTTGACATTTTGCTTTAGCAAACACATGATCAAACACACTGTGCTGTGACATCAGTAGCATTTTTAAATATGACTTCAGGATGGCTTCACACCTCAGTAAAAACCTTCTTTACAGATTAAAAGAAATGATCCGGAGAAATGGGAGAAGCCAACTCCTCTGGTACCTGAACGACCTACTGACGCTGTACGTCCAGCATTTATCGACCACAAGTGTTTACTATATAATGTTTATCTAAGGGTCTATTATACAATTGTTTTAGGTGTCCCAGAGTTTACCTTCTACCGAGCACGTGTGGTGGGCTGACGTTTCTTCAACATGTGGCAACATTTTAGTAAATTACTTTTGGCTTCAGAGGAGCAAGTTTTTTCACTCTATGAGGAGGAAAAGTGCAAAAGAATCCATAAGATCCATATAAGTTTGGAAACGCATAATGGTAACTTTATGAGCACAACAATATCAGACCTGATATAAACCTTAAAAACTAATTTAAAGGAAATGATAATATGCGTTATCAGTGTTTTTCACCTAATATAATAACATAACATTTACAAGAGTCACTAAAGAAAGAAGAAATGAGAAGTTTTGATTTGCATTGTGACTTATAAGAATAAAGATTAGTTTTTTTCTGTGCAGGAACTGATTCAGACACAATATCGGATGAAAAGAGCCACAGATGAGGTATTTAATGTATATGTTGTTTTTTAATTGCTGTGATTTATGTTTTGATAGATAGAGGGGCAGATAGAAATAAAAGATGGCGAGGAGATATGTGTCAAAAGTCTTCATACTAAAACACTCTCATGATTGCTACATTGAGTTTAACCAATATTCTGCTTACTGTTGCTTTCATACACTTTGTGCATTGTTGTCCAGATAGTCCAATACCATTTGAAAATAATGTGTCGTATCACCTTTATCCATCTGTATCAGGCTAATGGGAACATGACACAAACTCCTGTGGTTCCACCCAGACCCACAGAAAAGGTACACTACACACAAATACTCCAATATACAATGATACTCATCAATACAGTCAGAGTTCAATTCAACTTCCACACAGGGAATGTTTCTCATGTTTAAAGCCAAGCACAGAGCCGATAACGGAGTATTGTGTGAACATGTTTGTTAACAAATATTGAAATTATAGTTAATCTGCAACCTTTTTTGCAGTCTGTGTGAGAGCAGCTTACAGTTAAGTATTGACACAAGGTGTCATGTTTCTGTCCTGTTACTAATATCTTTTGTTGTTGTTCCCTTCTGGGCTTTTTTATGTGTCTAGGAACTTAAAGCCACAACCAGATACAGCCAACACAGAAGGGTACAGACACACACACACACACACACACAAAAACAATGAAATGACTTATCATGTTCCTCCATGGTTGTTTTTAAATACATTTCTGAAGGAGTGTCCTTCCTCTTATCAGATCCAATCGGAAGTTCCCAATGATGACGCAGACTTTAAACAGGTATTACAGGTAGCGTTATTAAATGGCCGCTCCGACCTAATTCATAAACGGTTTATACAGTTTCTTCCTCTTTATTGTCATGTGCATTGTTTTAGAGTGATGTCAAGACTGGAATGTTTCGTCGGAGCCAGAAAGAGACAACTCCTTCGTTCACTGTAAGAAATGCACTCGCTGCTCTTATCTGCACTGTAAATTACTACGCAGACAGAAGGGCATTCCAAGCCAAAAGACTCCTTTGACAAAACAACAGTTTTACCTCTGAGAACACGACTGTTGCTGTTGTCGCGCTGACTCGATGGGATAGTTTTTTGTTTGTGTAGTTGTGCACCTTTTAAGGGTTAGTTTGGATTCACCAAAGTCACACAATAACAAAACAAGTTCCCATCAGAAAGGGCCGTCTTTCTATCCCTTTAAATCACAGTAAATGTACATATCAAAATGTAAATATGAAATTAGTAAGCATATAAAATTATACACTGCGTGAGTTGAACAGGTCCCTGTCCAGCAGGTGTGTTTGGGTGTGTACACGTGTGAAACACGACTGTGTATTTAGACATGCAGTAGGTGTGTACCAGCATGTAGAAGCTGCTGACTCAGACGATGTTGTTCAATGAAAGGGTCTCGTGATGAACAAATGGAACAAAAAGGACACATTAAGCATCAACTTGTATGATGGGATAAACATGATATACACTGTACATTGTTTTAGAGCTGTGCTCAAAAAATATGAAGTAGAATGTGTTTTTACTGATTTTTCTTTCCTCAGAGTTACGTGAGCCATAACAAAGAGCACCAAACGGACGATGTCCCGGCCAGACTGACTTCTGGCATTAAACCGGTGTGTGTGTGTGTGTGTGTGTGTGTGTGTGTGTGTGTGTGTGTAAGAGAGTGTGAGAGTGACAGTGAGAGTGAGAGTTCATTCCACTGTTGATGTCATCTGCTGGTTTGTCACATGTGAATGTAATTGACAGGGCGGTCTGAAAGGAGTAATGAAAGGGTTGCAAATCAAGTCGTCACCGAAGGTATGAAGCACCGTCTGGTTTGGTGTTTTCTGCTGGTGGTGGCTGCAGTGCTTTATTGTACAGTGGTGACTTTTCACACGAAAGCGTTGTCTGGTGGTGGTGGTGGTGGGGACCAAATTTATTTTAATGTAACCTGGATTGCTTTGATTTTTAAAAGATATTTAAATGTGTTGTCTGTGGTTAAAATGATCAGACTGCCTGGATGAATCCTTGTGAAAAATTAGACCATTTATTTATTGTTTCTCTGAGGGCTCAGCTGTGAAATATTGAATCATCACTTTTACCTCCTGGATTGTTTCGTAGTTTGTTTACTTTATGGCATATTATTAGGCAGGACATCCCAACAAGATTATCTGACTGTCAGGGGCCCGGTGTGCTGGGGGTTTAGGCGCTGATCCCGGAACTGTAACGTCCCTGTTTCGAGTCCAGACTGGGACCTTTGTTGCATGCTGGCCTGTCACAATAATTACGTTACGGACTTCTATATTTTTTCCAATTCTTAAGAATTATTTTAATTGCTCTTTGAAAGTGTGTACTTTCATTATTGCTATTATATTATCATATCAGTGCAATTATTTCTGGGAATGCGAAACAAAAGTGGTTATGGTGACAGGCCTAGTTGCATCTCTCTCTGCCCTCACTTCCGCTCATCTCTGCTGTTGTCTCACTAATAAAGACATAAATTGCCATCCTATGTCTCACCTTTTATATCGTATTAATACAGCAGCTGTAAATATAGATGGTGAGGTGAAGTTTAAGTGGGAGGAGAAGGATTTTAATCTCGCAGACAGTTTGAGATAAGGAATAGGACAATCTTTTAAGGACAGAGTTTAAATTCTAATGTCAGAGGATCATATTGTGCTAAAGACTGTTGACTCTTCTTTAAGGCCAGCAGAGAGCCGAGTCCAGATCCCAGCAAGGAGGAAGCCAGCTCAGAAAAGGAACGATCCTCAGAAAAAAACAAGCAGGAAAAGAATGCAGAACCCAAACAGGTGAGAGAATAATAACAGTATTTGACTGGCCAGCCATGACTGAACAAGCCAGTTGTGCTTCTTCCAGAAAAACAGATCAATATTCAGTCACTGTTGTGAACAACAAAGTGGAAACTCATTCATTTGAAAATCAAATTACTTTGAAAGTGCTCAAATGAAAGCCACAATGTACACTTCAAGATAATGAATCACTCAGAATGTGGCGTTAACACTGGGGAAGCCACATAGTAATATTTTTATTGTTCTTAAATGTCTGCAGGGAAGACGCCATTTAACATTACCAATTTTTCTTAAAGGAAACCTTAAAGGCAGCTTGACGTTAGAATGTTTCTCTCACCCTTTTCGTTCAGGATATCGGAGGTCTGATTGCTGGAATGTTCCGGAAAACACCCAAAGAGAAATCGTCTCCTGCTGTGACGGTAACATCAACTCCTCCGCTCATTTTCTGATCAGAAGTTCGCCTCTTGCTCACTGTTTTGTTATTTCATCGTCAGTTCAGCAAGGCAGACAGCGATTCTGAAGATGCAGCAGAATCAGAAGATGAGGTCGGTCTTGTTTTAGTCCATCTACAGTGTATATTCAGTATAATTGACACGTTTAATGGCGTAGTAAAGGACGGAGACACGGGGAAACAGAGGGTTGAATATAGATGGTTTTAATAGTAAAGAAAACGTTCAACACAAAATGTGTATCCGTATGTGTATAATCCAAATTGTTACATTTTCGACAGGAAAAGGGAAGCTTCTTCTCTGGCATCCTTAAAAAATCCAATAAAACAACAGATGAGACGCCTGCACAGGTGAGTGACAAAAATGGCGTCCTACTCTTTAAAATACAACTGGAAAACTGTCTTTCGTGTGTGTTTTCTCTTATATCTCATTGGTGTTTCAGGACAGTCTCAGTGTTCATGGTGAGCTGTCTGCCAGCAACGACAGTCTGTCTGAAAACAGCAACAAGAAGGTGAGCAGATAACGTTATTATAATTTAAGTGCACACACGGACTAGAAGATTGTCCTCCAAAACGACCCCTCACTGACCTGAACATGACACAAAAAAAAAGAAGTATTTCATAACTGAGCATGTGTGTACTGTTGTTGTGTCTGTATCAGGAAAAAGGAGGAATATTCAGCAGCATGTTTAAGAAGAAATCAACAGAAGCTGCTCAAACTGACAAGGTGATGTAGCTGGAAACACTGTATGATGTGCAACTCAATTCAAACAAAGCCAAAAACGTCTTATTGGTTTAATCCAGTGGCCTGATAATTATATTGAACCTGTTCATTTTGCCTTTTAGGACCAACTGTCTCTACATGACGATCTGTCAGACAGTAGTGATGGTCTATCCGAAAACTCAAAGGTGAGCTCAGAAGCGTTCATCTGTGAAGTGACTGGGTTTTAATTATAGAATTATCATTATGTGACAATCACCGGCGGTGTTAATGAATTGGTCCGACGTCAACAGGAGAAAGGAGGATTCTTCAGCGGGATGCTCCGAAAGTCTCCCAAGATCCCTGCAGAGGGAACACCCGATCAGGTAACTGAAAATGTTTCAGATGCTTTAATAATCACTGAAAATGTTTCACTTGAGTGTGTTTTATAATTCAGAGTTCAATGTACATTTAAGGGATTTGAGAGCAATGAGAGTAAAGGTGATAACAACAGACTGACATCCTGTCTGCTCTTAATGAGCTGTCTTTAACAATGAGTCATTGCTAAATGCCGGAAGTTTTTGTCTCTTATGTTTTGGTATTTCAAAAATGTTGCACTACTGAGGTCGATGAGGGTGTAATGGTCCAAGTTTACAGTTTAAAACTCACTTAAAATGACACTACTGGTCAAGCAGTTATGACTTTAACCCAGTATTTACCTGGACTGCATTTTATATTTTGTTTTAATTGAAATATTTACTTGCTTTTCTTTCTTTACTTGAAATATTCAGTAACACTTACCTATTTAGAATTGATAAGCACTAAATAAAGATGTAATTAATGGGTTATAACACATGAAAGTAAATATATGGACATTTTAAGTGTTTGTACATCTGTCAGCAATCACAACTTCTATGAAAAAATATTTCATATTACAACTGTTTTTACTATATTTAATTTCATTATGTGTAACCGCTGAGACGTTTGAACTGTTTGTGTATCTTTGTTTCAGGATAAACAGTCGCCGCAAACGGAGCCGATCGACAGTAATGAGACTCTGTCTGAGAACAACACCACTAAAGTAAGAAACTGTATGAAAGTTATTGGGATGGGCTGTGGGGGCTGAATCCTATATTTGCTTTGATTTGAAACCCTCCCCTACACTGACATCAACAGTGCAACACCCAAACTCGACCCATATATCAAGCCTAATGTGAAATGGAAACATGATATTTGCACTCTGAATATGGTGAAAGGCAGCCTGATGGTCCAGAGGTGCAAACAAAAGACATTTTTTGGACGCAACTATTTTGATGTAACTATTCATCGTTCTTTATTTCCCTGTGAATCTTGCAAGAAAAAATAATTAAAATATAGATCCTGCTGAAGAAAAAATGAACGACTTTCTCAAAACCAGACTGCCAACAAAAAATACATAACCCCCCCTTTTCAAAAAACAGGTTTATACAAACAATTTCAGCCGAGTCATTCTCTCAAGGAAGCCAGTAAGGACATGCTTTGAAGATGAGTTTCTTCTTTTTCTTCACGTAGCAGGAGAAAGGAGGCGTTTTCGGTGGAAGGTTCAAGAAATCTCCCAAACTGTCTGAGGCCCCCCGACTGGAGGAGGTAAAACATTTACACAATAATCAGTCACTTCTGAAGCTTTGAAGCTGAGAAATAAAAATGTCCGACTAGCTGCTTGTATTATCAGGTTACTGCAACACATGTACACACGTTCCTCTGATTTCCCGCATTCACCTGTTTTTGAGTAACATGTTTCCACATCTGTTGTTTCTCACATATGCAGTACTACTCCCCAAGATTGTTCTGATTGTTGTAATCTTTTGTCAGGAAACACAGTCACAAGACGATGAACTCTCAGGCAGCAGTGAAGCTCTCAACACCAAGGTGAGTTTATTTATTCATTCATTTATTTAATACACTTTTAAAAGATTCCTTTAATATCTTAACTTTAAGAGAGAGCATTCACTGTCTGTATGTTTCAGGAAAAAGGAGGAATATTTAGTGGAATGTTCAAGAAAACTCCCAAACCTGCAGAAGCTGCCCAACCTGAAGAGGTAAAAGTGACGACATGTTACTTTTTCAATGAAATCCAACTCTTAAAAGGTTAGGGTTAGTTTCCGTTTTCAACAACATTTCGATTTTTTTTGTTTGTTTAAATTCTCATTACATCCTGATGGCTATCAATTAATCAAATGCTCTGACAAAAAATGGAATAAAATCCGGTATCTGTGGGTGTTGCAGGACTGTTATAAGCCCGTCCAATAACTAAATCCTTACCTAATGTAATGATTGGACGGTTTATCTGCCTGCCTGCTTGCCATGTTGGACACTTTCTCACTAGGTTTTGGGTCTTTTAGAGCTAATGCTGCTAGCTACTTTCATTTCATAAGAGTTCGCAACACAGGAGGGTTTTAGGTTGGATCATTTTTTTAATCTAGTACTCTTTCTAGTTTCACAAGCAGCTTTAACTTCATATCTCTATTTTTTTCAACAATTAAAGGATGCTAGGCAGTCTTTTTTGACAAATTATAAAGCTCCGTTAACCTGTTCTGTTTCCAGGATTTCTGTTGACTTGATGAAAATTAGGTTAAAATGAACAAGTGATGAGTTGCGGCTGTAGATTCAGTATTTCCTTTAAAATATTTCTCAACATGTAGCAAAATCTGGCAAATGTATTCCATGATTGTCAATTATTATGAATACAGTAATGCAAAACCATGCTCAGATGTTCATTCAATATTTTCTTTAACTCTTTTTTTATTATTAGTAAAAAACAAAGTCTTGTAGAAGTTGTGATAAATCATAATTAACAGTTAACAAAGTTTTTACCAGAAATATTTAGTAAAAGGGTAAATAACCATTAACCTCTTCATCAGTGTGAAGAGTAAAATACGTTATGCAATTTCTTACTTAGTATTCCCAAATAACATAAACACCTTTTCATAGGACGATTCTCCCGACAGCGATCTTTCAACCAGCACTGAGAATTTATCTGAGAACAAACAGGTCAGTGAGATCAAAGCTTTTCAACAAAACCGCAGTAAGATTTGTAAATACTTTCACTACTTCAGCAAACTTTTTTTTTTTTGTTCTTGTGTATTTACATCAGGAGAAAGGCGGGGGGTTGTTCAGTGGACTCCTCAAAAAGACTCCCAAATCGTCTAAAGAAAGGGTGGCGTCACCGGTGAGTGAGTGTTACCTGAACATGCGGTGAGTTTCTAAACCTGCAACACGTTTTGACGGGTTTAATAAAACTTTAATTTCTATGTTTCAGGAACGAGAAGTTCAGAGAGAGCTGTCAGCCAGCAACGACGATCTGGCTGAGAACAACAACACCACGAAGGTGAGATATGATGCATCAAACTTGTAAGTACAAATGTCTTCAGAGGAAGCCTTCACTGACGACCACTTTTTTTTCCAGGAGAAAAATATTTTTAGCAACATGTTTAAGAAGCCGCAGAAACCAGCAGAGGACACCGCAGCAGACAAGGTACTGTGATTTGATTAATTTGGGCCTTAAGTTTCTCCTTATGGAGGATGGAGTAGATATTTATATTTACAGTTTTCTGGTTTGAATTCAGGAGCTGGATGTGAACACAGAAAAACGTTTATCTGGTAGCTGTGAGACTCTGTCGGACACAACCGTCCCAAAGGTACTTCAGTTATTATTACAGTGGCTGACCTTGTTCTGTCTGCATTAACTGAAAGCTTGGATGATACCTCTGTTTTTTCTGTGCTGCATTTATCTCTTTTCATATTTGAATGTAAAAATAATCCAGTGCTGTTAGTCCTGTTCGTTGTGTTTTTGTTTGTGTCTGAATGTTTTCCTTCATTTAACCAAAAACTGTTTTAGGAGAAAAAAGGTGGCCTGGCGGGTATCTTCAAAAGATCAGCCAGCATTGACGACCTGTTTGACGAGGTCAGTGTCTGTAAAACAGATCAGTTTAAAGATAATAAGCATTCTTATAAATTAAACTACATAACAGTAGTTGATTAAATTAGCTCTTTCTTGACAACATTAATGCTCAGATGGATGTCATTTTGGCACAAGGAGTACTTTGAAATGTGATACTTTTAAGTACATTTTGAAGCAAGGCAGAGTATTTTGACTTTTACTTGTAACAAGGTAGTTTTATCCTGTCGTACTACCGAATAAAATATCTCGATACTACTGCTGAAAGGTAGAAAACAAATTGACTGTATGCTTTGAAACATGGTTGGATATCATGTAAGCGAATTTGTTCAGACTTTTCTCAAGCCTCCTGTTGCACTCCTCACAAGCCAATCGAGATAAGAACAACAACAAAACGTCCAAAATGAAACTGCATTAGTGATTGAAACACTCATTTTATTTTCAGTCTAAAACTTAACTACAACTCGTTTTGCTCATCAGGAGAAAGGCGGTCTTTTCAGTGGACTCATTAAGAAAACACCCAAAGCATCTGGAGACGAGGCCGCCGCAGAGGTGAGTGTGTGACTAGACGCACTGTGTTTGGAGACTGATTAGATCGCTGCAGGAAGGACATATTTGTGTTGGCCAACCCTGGATGTTGACATAGCATTGTGTTTCTCAACAAAAATTTACAGAACTAAAATGCTAATGTTACAACTTAACCACGGTCGCATGATTGTTAGTATACACGAGTCGGTGCGATGACGTTTAGTCTCAATTAGCAACTGCCTTTTTTAAGACACAAAAAAGCTTCTATGCTGCAGAACAAAACGTTAAAATCTCTCAAGTTTGTGCTGACCACAGACCTTATTTCAGGCATCTAACTAAGAATTCAAAAAACTCATTGGCTTTGAGACAAGGGCACTGGAAGTGCAAAGAATGTAACTCATTTCCGAGGTTTAGGACTCATTCCTGCAGCACTATATTTTACATATTTATAACGTCCATTTCTCTTTTTCCAGGACAAAGACGACCAGAAGGAGCTGTCAGCAAGTAATGACAATCTGTTTGAAAACAGCAACACAAAGGTACTTTGATGAGAAATGTTGGTTTTGAAATTTAAATTTGAACGTGCAAGCACCGTTTTGTTTTTCAGTCTCTTACACAGATGGTGTCTGTGTTTAATTCATGTTTTCAGGAGAAAAGTATTTTCAGTGGCATGTTTAAAAAGACTCATAAACCAGCAGAGGGGACTACAACAGAGGAGGTAATGACCCTTCCACATTGAAGTTTAGTTTACAGTATATCACACCATTTGACTGTACTTTTGTATTCATGTTTTGTTTTTTTCTGTTGTGTGCGTTCAGGAGTCAAATGATGATAAGAAGTTATCGGCCAGTCGTGAAAATCTATTCGAAGAACACACGCCAAAGGTACAAATGTTTGCTGATCACAATCTCAGCTGTTTTTTTTTCTTCTGCTGTTGATTATTTCAATATTAACGTGTGAATGTTTCATATGCTTCAGGAGAAGACTGGAGGACTTGCAGGGATCTTCAAAAAGTCTCCTAAACCAGCTCATCGCTTGATCGCTGCTAAGGTAACCAAATAAACTTTAGTTTTTTTCGGTGGTGAGGTGTGTGATTACCGTTAAGTAGTCTGTCTACATTTTTAAGATGATTATATTGTGGTAAAATAACCTTCAACAAGTTAAAACAAACCAGATTGCCTACAAAATGTTCATTTTCTTCTTGTTTTTCAGGATCCTCTCAATGACAGAAAGGAGTTGTCTGCCAGCTGCGACAGCCTCGCAGAAAGTGCAGAGGTGAGAGCTACTCCGATGATCACCCTCTGAACACAAAGCTCAGGCTGAAAGCCCAAAACATCAAATCTAGAGAGAGGAACGCTCTGTACCCCAACGTCCAATGGATTTAAAAAAATATATTTGAGCCAAACCAAGCTCTCCTCTTTCATTAGGACACGTTTCCATCCTTTCTCTGCCTGCAAATGTTTACAGTAAATAGATTTTAAAGTAATTATCGTTTTTATAACAACAACTTCTCTCAAATGTTTCAGTGATAACGTATTGTTTGTTTTTATTCTATTTGACAGGATATTCCTTCAGCACTTGTTGAAATGTCAACGAGTAACGACAATCTCTCTGAAGCTACAAGCACCCCAAAAGTGAGCCTTGATGTAGAGTGTATTATTGATTATGCTTGCATATTTTGCCTTTTTGTGACTTAAAGGAATGCCTTGTTTTTTTTTAACAGGAGAAGAAAGTAGGGTTTGGTAATATGTTCAAGAAGACGCCCAAAACACAACAACAGGTATGATATTATTGGCAAAGAGGGGCGGGAAACGCACTCGCTTGAGTCGTACAACCAATAGTCGATGGAACACAGTGTTGTAGTAGTAGTAGTAGTAGTAGTAGTAGTAGTAGTAGTAGTAGTAGTAGTAGTAGTAGTAGTAGTAGTAGTAGTAGTAGTAGTATTTGAGATTGTCAATGAAACAAGTGTTGAAACTTTAAATGCTAATAAAAGGTAAATACAAAGAGCAAATTAGATGATCCTCATAAACTCCTGGATTATGTGTCTGTCCAGCTGTTAAACAATAATCTCTGTCTTCATTTGCAGGACGATGAGGACATGGAGGAACCAAAAGGAGGCGGGCTGAGACGCAGGAAAACCATCAAGAAGAAAAAACGAGTGAGTTGTTGTTGTTCACTTTAAAGAAACGTCCAGAGACATGACAGGAAGTTGCAGGATCAAGAGCCGGAGTGCATTTCAACAGCTATACCTTTTTAAGAGGTTTATCTTAATACAGTTAGAACACTTTAATGGTGACAGGAGCTGAACTTTGAGATTATTTTGTCTCTTGCTTCTCCCGTTTGAGCTCTTTGATGTTAAATGTCTTTTCTCATTAACAAACTCTTCTTTTCTTGTTTTGTTTCCGTAGGTTGTGTCATTCAGAATCAAGAAGACTCTTCCCAAAATATCCAAACTTAGTCTAGCTTCACAGGTATCTTCTCATCTCTTCTAGTTGTTATGAATCACTTTGTGGTAATGTAAATAAAGAACAAGAGCAGGCTGCTTGAAAGGCTTGTAAAAAGCTTAAAATAAAGTTTACTTTTTTTTTATTAGCTTGGAGATCAGTCCAAGAGGTTATTAGTTGTTTTGGTTCATTTTTTGACACAAATATACATTTTCATTCTCTACAATGTCTCGTCCTCTTTTGAATTCATATTTCCTTTACCCGTTTGCTGGTTTTATTATGAATGAGTGTTGAAGTTCTTCTTAATGACATTGTTTGTTTCGTCTTCCTCCACAGAGTTCAGAAATGATGCCTATTATTGAGGAGACTTTTGAGCTGCAGGACCTGAACCCAGCACAGGTCGGCATAGTGACATTATAAGAAAGATCTACTTAAAAAAGGAAAAACATTGAAGAGGGGTTTACAAATTTCTAATCCAAGATTAAAAACAACCATAAATCTTAATTAACATCTATTTAATATTGTCTTGTTTAATCAGGGATTGTCATTTATGAACATATGACATTTGGCAACAGTTAACCAGTTCATCGGGGTTAGGGTTAGGTTAGGGTTGTCAGCCTGTGAAGTGATCCGGAGTTAGTATTTAGCAAGTTGGAGCTTTTTTTGAAGAGATCAGTGAATACGGGGAAAAAATAAACCCTGCTGTATGTCCACACTATAGAACCACACGGATTAACTGGTGAGAATCAGTGTCAGTGTGATGCTAGCTGACATACAGAGGGAATGACGGTGAGAGTAAATACACATAGAAACCCCTTTAAACTGAATTCTGTGTCACAATGTTGTATTATTGTGTTTGTTTTCCAGGAGAGCCAAGTGGAGGTCCAGCCTGTTGAGATGGCAGCTTATCCTACTGAGGGGAACCGTCTCGGAATTGAGCATGTGCGTTTTAGGACACTTTTACACATTTGGTTTAGTTCAGTTGGTCCATAGATTATGTGTAAAATTATGATTTCGGGTCAGAAAGAGCTCATGAAGAAATAACTGATTATTAGACTGAAAATCGACTGCATGTTATGAATAGAAATATACTTTTTCATTGACAAAGGTCTCTGTTTTCAGGACATTGATGATGATTTGATGGAGTGGTGGAACACAGTCAAAGGTCAGTATGAAGATATGTTCATGTTGTTTGTTTGTACTGTTATAACATTCCACCAAGAGAATTACCACTTATGTTCTCTCTCTCTCTCTCTCACACGCACACAAACAAAAAGGATGTTTCTTTAAGTATAAAAGTCATAAAAAAGATCAAATAAATCGGCACTAAAACCTACAAACAAAACTGTATTTGCTCCTTGTACTAGTTGTATTGTTTCTGCCTCTCCGTTTTCCAGGTTGGGCAGAGTGGAACGAGACATCAGATTTCCAGGAGGGTGATGAGCACATGTAAGCGTAGTTTCTTTTCTTAACTTTTCATTCAAATTCCCGCCCATTCTGTTCCCGTGTTTATTCATATTAGAACTAAATATTAACATATAAAAACTGGCCTATTGTGATGATGATCCGCGTTGATGATTCCTGCTCCCTTTGACTTTTGCCCTCTCCCGTCCCACTCACATTATGAATATTGAAATTGACTCATCTATCCGAGAATCAATTCTGTGACCCAGAGGATTCCCCCCAAAAATGTCAGACTCTGATCTGTAGCAAGCAATCCACCCATTTCACTTGGGACACATGCTGGTACAAAATTTCTTAGACCTACAAGCATCTAACTTTAGACATGATCAAATGCACCATCCTGTGATTTTCAAGCCTTCACAGCTCTCTTGTGTCTCTTCAGGGCGATGGAGCAGGCAGCAGATCGTGTCTACATGGCAGCCCGTCTGTTCGTGCGTCTTTTCAACCGGCGTGGGGCGTCCTTGCAGCATCGCATCCTTGAGCTTATGGCTCTGGCCGACGCTGCGGACGAATTCCACAAAAAAACGTTGCAAGCTGCCGTGGGTGGAGGGGTGGCCAGTGTGTGTGGCAGCGTGGCAACAATCACAGGGCTCATTCTGGCGCCTTTCACTTTTGGCGCCTCTATTATTGTCACGGCGGTGGGGATCGGTGTGGCGACGGCGGGCAGCATCACTTCAGCAACGGCCAATATCACCGATACGGTTCACTCCAACATGGACCGTAAGAAGCTGGAGAAGATGATCCAGGACTACCAGGAGGACATCAAAGACATCAGGGAGTGTTTGGAGTTTGTGCAGGTGAGGAAAAGGACAACCTTCAACCTTAATAGTGTCCCTACAAATGCATTTGTTGGAAAAGATATCTCCTTCTGAGACAGTTCTGACCCTCCTTTTTTGTTTCTGTGCCTCTTGTAGGCAGGTATGGACACCCTGGAGGAGTGGGACTTTGAGAAATACTCAGAGAGCGCCGCCAAGAAGGCCATGAACCACAACCTCAAGCATGTGATGAAGGAGGGCGGCCGTGCCGGAAAAGCCCTGATGATCAACACAGATAAGCTCATCAGCACTGTGCAGATTTTAGGCGCTGCAGGCGGCGCCGCCAAAGCTGCCCAGGCCATCAGCGTCACCACAGGGGTCATGTCGGCGCTCTTCCTGGCTCTGGATATTTTCTTCCTCGCCAAAGACTCCCACAATCTCCGCAAGGGCGCCAAAACGAAGTTCGCCACCAAGATCAGGGACGTATGTAAAGAACTTCAAGACGGCCTCCTGGAGCTGAACAAGGTGAAGACGCAGCTGCAGAAGACCATGGACGGCATCGAGGTGGAGGAGTACGAGGAGATTAAGGAGGTGGAGGAGGAAGTTGATGACGAATATGAGTCGGATCCGAAGAAGCTGGCTAAACTGGATCAAGAGCTGGACCTCCTGGAGGAGAAACTGGACAAGAAGGTTGAGGAGGAGCTGAAGAAGAGTAAAGAGATGGAGAAGGAAATGTTGACGAGTAAGAATTTGAAGGAAAAAGGAGAGCCAGAGGAAAAGAAGGACAAAGAGGAGATGGAGGATACTAAGACAGAGGGAAAGAAGGAAAGTAAGAAGGCCAAAAGTGAATCAGAAAGCAAGATTCCTGGTGAAGAAAAAGAGCAGAAAGATGAGACTGTCAAAGCAGCCAAAGAGGAAGTTTTAAGAGACCAACCTCAGAAAGGAAAGAAGGACAAAGAAGCTGAGAACCAAATTACAGCTGGAAAAGAAAAGCATGAGAGCAAGCGAGACCAGGCAAAAGAAGACAATGGTACAAATCTGCCAGTGGCAGAAAGTGTGAGTACGACGAGGCACAGCAGCAGGAGCGACAAAGCTCGACTCCCCAGGAGTGAGCAAGGGAGGAAACATGAAACCGATAAGGAAAGAGACAGAAAGCTAAGCGACAGGACGCAGAGCTCGAGGAGGACAGAGGAGGAGGCTGGAGTGAAGGATTGGAGAGCTGAGATGGCGAAAGGTAGAGAGGAGAAGAAAGAAGGAAGAGACGCAGAGAGATGGACGAAAAGGGAAGATCATGGAAAAAGCGACGAGAGGAAGAAGTCTCATCGAAGTCAAGAGACGGCGACGAAGAGGGAGGAGCACTCGGAAAGGCAGTGGGGGAGCAGACGGGAGGAATCTGACTCCCAGAGGAGTCACCACAGGAGCGGAACGGCTCCGCATGATGAACACAGACAGAGGGCAGAGGAGAAACGAGGGAGCGGGATTGAGAGCGCGAGGAGGAAGTTTGAGAGAGCAGAAGGTGAGGAGGAGGTAGAGAGGAGAGGAAGTAACAGAGACAGAGAGCACGGCCAACGAAGATCTCGACGTAGCTCGAAGGCGCTGCTGGAAGACGGTCTCAATATTTAGTTTGAAAGAAGTTATTATACACATCATCACATTAAATGTTAGGTTTGGACAGAAACTGACAATGAATTGTTTTAAGTCAAAGTGTCTGCTGGGAAAAAGGTCAGTGAATCTGATTGACATGCTGGCTCTCCATCAAGATTCAGGTTTTTATGATTTACTCAGAACTAAATGTAAAGTAGAAGGTGAAGCAGGAGAACTTTGTGTCAGTTGTGTGTAAAAAGCGTAGCTAAGTTTAGACCGTAGTCTTCTCAACTAATGAGAAACGTAGATAATTATATTCAAATGCAATCATTGGATTGCTTTCAACTTCTTCAGGGGAGTATGACAGAAACAGGTAAGGGACTGCTCGGCTAATTCATGCTGAATTCGAACATGCACACACGCACTGTACATGTGGGCATGTTAATTATAATATATGTAAATGTTATTGCCTGCGTTGAGGTAGAAGAATTAGAAACCAATCCTTTTTTTAATCGTGAGTGAAAACGGTTCCAGGTTCACTGCTCCTTGCTGAAAAGCTTATTCATCAAAAGTTTAGGGTTTAGGTTGAAGAGAATAAATTATGTGACGAAGATCTCTTTTTAAATAAAGTTTTTTGTTTTGTTGAAAACTGCAACAAAATTTGCAGGGGGCGATAAGCTGCATTTATCGACTTCTGCGTCAGTGTCTTTTTGGATACGACCACTACAATCTTAATATTTTACATATATACATGCATTAGGAGTTTCAAAATCTGTCTGTCTTTTTTGCTGCTGAAAGCTGAAGCTCTAATTGTCTTTAGTATCTTTTCTTTTCACATCTGTGAAGCAGATTTCCTGCTAAATCTGACCTCGATGCAAATGATGTCAATTACAGTGCAGAGGCTGCTGCTATTTTGTTAATGACTCTTTTTGATGTTGTGGTGAACCTAAAACATTATATTGGTCTCTGTTACTTTCTATAGTTCTGGTGCTTCAGGGTTAAAATAGACACTTTTTTATATTATATATATATCTCTATGGTGCTTGTTTCTTGTTGAACAAATAAATTATTTACTGAAATGTGATTCTGTTTGGTCTTTTTGATTCTGAACGCCACTGTTCTTATTTTCTGCTCGTCACTCGACTGTACAAAGAAACTATTTGCTTCTGAAATGAATGAGAACTTTAAACCAACCATTTGATTAACTGAGTAAACAATTTCACATCCACATAAAAAGTATATTAACTCTTGATATTAATCATTCAAACATAATGTATCAATGCGAAGCAAAAGTTTAAAAAAAGAAGAACGGGCTGGTTGTTGGACTTTAAACATACAGAATCTTTCTGGTGGTGCTGTCGGGTATTACAGCTGATCACCACCGGAGAGGAGCAGAGAGCTGAACCAGGAGTTAAAGGTCTTCATCCAGTACACGGATTCTCAACACCTCTGCAGTTGCCAGGGGACACATGGAAAAACTGTTGAGTAACTAAAGTAATTTCACCAAATTGAAATTACGATTTGATTTGTACAGGAAGTTGTTGCTCCTGAACTGTACATGTTATAACTGAGAGCGTGAAAACAAGCGGGCCAGAAAGCAGACCAGTCCAAACAGTTCAAATGTGTAACCGGTTGAAACTCCAACTGGTTGTTCGCTGGTCGAGTATTGTCTCTCAGTGGTATTTGTAAGTACTGTACTCGGATAATAGTTTTAGGTGCTTTAATTGAGTATTACCATACTTTATATTCAAGTAAGCTTTTGTTACTTTGTTAAGATTTTACCTACAAATACCAACTTTATCAATTTAAATGTATTGTTTTATTAGAATAGAATATAAACAATAAGGCAATGAAATGGAACAAACTACATAAAAGTAGCACAAAAGGAAAAGATAATAAGGAAAACTAAATATTTACATTGAATATATATACAGTCACTTATATATACATACACACAAAAAATACCAAAACAGTTAAGTTGTTAGCAACTACAATAGTAAGTTACTTTAACATGTTGCTGATGAAACTTCTGTACTTTACAATTTTGAATGCATAGTATTTTTACATTAGAGTATCACAAGGCTTTAAAGAATAAGAGAATACAGAGCTGAAATAAAATCAAGTAAAGACATCTGTCTAAATGTAGGATTTCCACTCCCTGCACACTCACCCTGTTGTCTTATCTTATCTTGTCTTATCTTGCTGAATGATCTGCTGGCATTTGTTGTTTATGTGTAAGCTGTTACACGTAAACAGAACTCGCTCACTGTGGGTTTACTATGGGTGTGTAGAAGCTTTACTGCTACAGAAACCCTCATATCATTATGCAGTTTGGGAGACGTGTGCAGGAATTCTCATTATGAAAAAAATAAATCTAAAACAACTAAACTTTTAAAACCGAAATAGTCATGGCGGTCAGAGAACTCATGTTTTATTAAACAGAAAAATTAAAAAAAGAACACCTTGTGTAAAGTTTAGGGTGAGGCTCTATTTAACAAAGATGGTGCTAATATAAACGTATCTTCATCTTTTATTTAGTTTTCTTATGGTAAGTAATTTTTCTATTTCTATACTCAAGTATTTGAATTACAAAACTCTAAATCAGATAATGAGATTTGGTCAAATTCGTCACGGTTGGTCAGGTAATGTCACATGGAGGGAAATGAGCCGCTCCTGAGTTATTTTCCACCTGGTCATCGTGTTTCACATAAATTCACACCTGACGTGTTCACACGTCTTTGATGACGATAGTCGCTACAGAGAATGAGGAAGAGGCAAATGGAAAAAACGTTGTTTGATAATGTTGAACAGAGTCTCTATTGGGTGTGTGTGTGTGTGTGTGTGTGTGTGTGTGTCTGCATGTTGTTCATGTGATTACTGTGAAGCAGCTCGTGTTGTCTCAG